CCCTAAAAGTTGTCAAGGGCAAATGAAAAATCTGTGTCTTCTCTACTTATTAGGGATTGATTCTCTTTATGTCTTAATTTGTGATGTCTGTGTCCGTATATTGTATCTGATGTGTTTTCTGCCTCTGGATTGCAATCACTAGGTTGTAATATTTTATTGGATTAAATGAATTAAATGCTTTTATAAATTAAGAAATAGAAACGAGCCCTAACCAGTTTGGCTCAGTGGATAGAGCATCAGCCTGGGGACTCAAGGGTCCCAGGTTCGATTCCAGTCAAGGGCATGAACCTTGGTTGTGGGCACATCCCCAGTGGGGAGTGTACAGGAGGCAGCTGGTCGATGTTTCTCTCTCATAGGTGTTTCTAACTCTCTATCCCTCTCCCTTCCTCTCTGTAAAAAATCAATAAAATATATTTTAAAAAAGAAAGAAAGAAAGAAATAGAAACGATCCGAAATGTTTTTCAGGATCATATGATCTGGGAAAATATTTTATATTAAAGCTGGCTTAAGTCTAATTCTTTTAGAGTTATTAACATGAAATATATGTTTGCTTTTCCTGGGTTTACAAAACTAAGTTCATGTTATTTATCTCTGTTACAAATTTGTCAAGAAAATGTCTTGGGTAATAATTGACTTTGAAATATCATAGAATTGCTAAGAACTAATAAATAGTTATAACTAAAGTAAAGAGTTTTTTTATAAAGCTGTTCAGTAATAATTACATATTACTAAGCGCAGTTTTCCAAAGTCTTTGGTAACTTGAAACTTTAGAGTTTTACTAAGTTAAGTTAAATGACAAAAATTACTGACTATCTGGACATTTTGAGATAACATGGGATACTAAAACATTGATTGATCTATGTTTACCTACTGTGGGCTTCTTATTACACAGAAACTAGAAAATGGATTTGGATGTTAATGAATGTATTATAATTTGTCTGAAGTATGTCTCTTGAAAATGTGAATGTATTTGCCAATAAAAGAACCTGTTTCTTTCTATAAGTTATGAAATGCATTCATAAAGTTGCCAATCTAAAGAATACTTACTATTTAGTTGTCGCTAGAGATTAAGGTTTCTAAGAGTTAAGAATTCGCATTAAATTGGAAAGAAAATGCATGGTTTTGGTAATAAAAGGTACCTTTTAAGGAACTAGGAAGAAAATGGCTTGTTCTAAAGTTGGTTATTTCTGAATGAGTTGAGAAAAGGCAAACGAAAAGGGACTAGGAAAGTTGTAGAAGGTTTGTGAAGAGAAATCTTGAAAGGAAATTGTATATGGTTAAGCTAAATAATATTGGAATAAATTTAATTAAGTAAATGAATCCTATATAATAAAAGCTTAATATGATAAGTGTCCGGTCGTCTGTTCAATCAATCAAAGCGTAATATGCTAATGATATGCTAAGGCTGCTCAACTGCTTGCTATGACGTGCACTGACCACCAGGGGGGCAGATGCTCCAACCAGTAGGTTAGCTTGCTGCTGGGGTCCGGCCAATTGGGACTGAGCAAGAGGGGCTGGACATGCCCTGGAGCCCTCCCCGAGTCCCTCCCCGGCTGGCCAATCTCCCACGTCCCTCCCCAGCCCTGATCGTGCACCATTGGGGTCCCTCAGCCTGGCCTGCACCCTCTCACAATCTGGGACCTCTTGGGGGACGTCGGAGAGCTGGTTTCAGCCTGATCCCGCAGGCCAGGCCAAGGGACCCCAATGGTGCATGAATTCGTGCACTGGGCCTCTAGTTTAAATATAAAAAGTAAGCTAATACAGAATTGGTTTAGTTCTTTTTCAGTCTTTTAAGGGGAAAAAGTTTTTCCTGTATCTGCCTAGAAAGAAAGATTCTGTTTTATTAAAAGAGTTATATTGTGTTAATCAGCTATTTGATTACTTAAGAAATTCATCCTTTCAATCCTAAGAACTAAAGTTTTGCTAGCCTGTATTTATGTTTGATCTCTTTTATTGTCACTTTGGGGGAATAAATAATTGAATAATATTTCATAATGATACATGATCTTTTGGTCAAGTATGTTTGATAACCTTTCCAGGGTTTAAATTTTAAGAGACTTTTTCTTTACCTAGAAATGGCTTTGGATGATTCCTATGGGCCCGTGGAATACCTCAAGGATTTGTTCTCTCTCCTTATAAAAAAGAAATTTAAAACTTATTAGGTCTGTTTGATATGCTTAAAGTTCATGGGAAGCTTTAAATACATAACTAATAACTATGCTCTATTTGTATACATATATTTTTGAATTTTTATTTATTGCTTTTGAGAGAGAGAGAAAGAGACATCGACTTGTTGTCCCGCTTATTTATGCATCATTGGTTGCTTCTTGCATGTACCCTGACCAGAGATCAAACCCACAACCTTGGTGTATTGGGACAATGCTCTAGCCAACGGAGCTACCTGGCCAGGGCCTTTATGCATATGTTTTTATTATTAAAGTGGATATTCTAGAGATTATATTAAAATCTCCAAAAGCCTACCAAGTTCTGATATAACTGCATTTGTAAGTCTAATTGTTATTTTAAAATGTTACAGAGAAGCGATTTCCTTTTTCAGATCTATAGCCATGACATTTTAAGTTGTTGTTTTGTTTGTTTGTTTTTGTCATGGTTTTACTCTGATGCTTTTGCAAATGTTATCTCGTCAGAAGATCCCTGGAAAGGATTGACATTTTAACAGACTTATTCTAAAATATAGGTTTCTGAGAATAAATTTTCATATCATACCTTTGAACTGGATGAAGACTTATAGAACTCTAAGGAATTTAACTGGATTCATGAAATACTTGCAAATAACCAGGATAAACAAGAATTGTTTTATTTTTTCCTCCCATCCTTTGACTTGAAATTACTGAGAACTAAAACTTGAGCCTTGCAATCGCAGACTAAGCTAAAGGACACGGCGTAACCCTGAGAAATCACCACTGCAGCTCACACTTAAACAGTCTCAGTGGCTGCTGCTGTGCAAGCCGTGCAGAATCGTCCTGAGCACCCAAGGACATCACTAGAGACATTCAAACTGCAACCAGGACAGGCTATCGGGTGGTCACTGCCTGCCTTCATTCCAGAAAATAAACTTGGAGCCTTACTAGTACATCTAGAAATCTTCTTGACTGGCAGCCTTCCAGACTCAGAAACTGGTTTATAATTTGCTCTCATCATTAACCCCTTTTCCTTCTGTTTTCATAGACACGCCCCTTATTAATGCCTAATTACTTGCTTACACAATACAGGCCTCACGTGGGGAGCCCAGCTGCATCACCGCCTCCTGACATGAGATTCATCAATTTAACTGAAATGACTTATTCGAACGGAATGATTGAGTCAATGAAACATGTAGCAATCTACTAATTTACCTTCTAGAATGTGAAACTTTATTATTTAAAGTCTCCAAGGTGGGACTGAAGGGACCAAAATTCTGCCACCCTGAAGCTGCTTTCTGGGGATACTGATTGGGACTGTTTATTAGGAAATAAGACTCAGAGGGAACCTTTGACCCTTTCCCCTTCCTGCCTAAGAAAGCCAGAGAGACCTGCTTCAGGAAGGAGATCCCCTTAGATCCACGGAAACAAGAGAGCTCTGAACAGCTAAAAATTCCTCCATAAAACCCCATGAGGAGATGTTGGGACTCCTGAGGGCCCTAACACTGCAGGGAGGTAGCAGCAGTACCCCCAGCGGCCACCAGAGGGGGTCTGTGCTGTCATTGATGAAACCTGTTGCACCTACAGTAACACCACTGGAGAGGCTGAAGAGGATAAAAACGATTTATGATCAGGCAACATGGCTACACCCCTTCGCCCAGGGAAACCCTCCGCCAACTTAATCTGAGACGCCGCAAGGTTGGTCCTTTCCTCTACCAGCTGGTCCTTGCCTCGCCTCAGATCTTTAGTTGCCACCATTCTCATTTTGGGTCCATGCCTTTTTAACCCTCCTGTCAGATCTGTCACTTCTAGGATACAATTCCGATATTAGCGAGTTATGACCATAACATTAGAAAGTGACTACCCACCACGGACTGCTTTTAATTAAAAAGCTTTCATTTCAGCCCTCGCCAGACGCTCAGTGGTTAGCATATCAGCCCATGGACCAAGGGGTCGCGGGTTTGATTCCTGGGTTTCAGGATCCCTGCCCCGACTGGGGGCTCATGCGGGAGGCATCCTATGGATGTGTCTTTCTCATATCAAAGTTTCTCCCCGCCCCCCACCCCTTCCCTTCCACTCTCTCTAAGAAAAATGATGGAAAAAATATCCTCAGGTGAGAATTAACCAAAAAAAAAGTTTTCATTTCAGACCATCCTAGGTGGTTACTTTAGGTCTCTGAGTCTGTGGGGCTGCCACACAGGCCTCCCCTGAGCTTGCAGGTTTAGTACTGGCCCCTTCTCAGGCCCCTCCTCCCTCAGCACCCCTGAAAGCATCCAGGGATGGAAGTGTCAGGAGGGAATGAGGATAGTTCGGAAAACTCCCTACAAGTGGAATGAGGACGTAGGAGCAGACATCACAGGCGAATAAGCCCCCAGGTTCTCTCATCAGAGCCCCTCCCAACCCCCCCCCCCCCCCCCCACACACACACACACACTGAAGGGGAAGAGCACATGGCAGGAAACCCCTGCTGTGGTCGCAAGGTCAACAACAAGGACTATAAAAACAGCTCAATCCAGGATGGAGGAGAAACTGACTCCACTGGTAGAAGGTGGGGTGACGAACGCCAGGACGCTTCCGGAACGGACCGCATTAGGAACAAGATCACAAGATCACCCTCCCAACCCAAAGGCACCACAAAGTTCAAAGACTGGGAACTCGGAAAATCCCAGGCGCGGACTGGTCGCAGCCTGGAGCTGGGCCTGTGCGCACTCACACGCGCACCTTCGCTTCTTTCCCCGCAGCCAGCCCCGAGGCCAGCCGCGCCCAACCCCTGACCATCTCCAGGAGCCGCGTCCTAGCCTGTCTCCTCCTGAATAAAACCCGCTTCCCTCTCACTCGGACTGTTTCTTGAATTCTTACCGGCCTGCGTCTAAGGTCCGAAGGCTCCAGCCGCTTCCGGGGCAGGGCCAGCCCCCAGCCCTGAGCCGGCCCAGTGACCAGCACCTCCGACTCCTCCTAGTCTGCGCCTGGCAGGAGGAGAGGAAAGAAGGGGAGAGACGACGGAGCGCCAGCGGGACCCTTGGGCCACTGCAGCGGGATCCCCAGGAGAGGTGTGCCTGCACCCCCAGATGCACGGAGTCCAAACTCCCCCGCCTTTGGCAGCCTGGCCTGTGGGATCAACGGGCTGTGTCTGGGGTCCTGGGGACTCCCAGCGCCCACGGCGGGGCTGGAGACAGAGCACAGCGCCCTCCTGCGGCGCCCAGCTCCGCGTCTCTGTGGCTGCGGAACTTGGGACCAGGAGCTTGGCCCCACCCAGGGAGGCATGGGGCGGAGCCTCTTACAGCGCAGAGCTCAGATCCAATCACTTCATTATTATTCCAAGTCTGAGTGCTTCCTCTGAGCCCTGCTGCCTCCCTTATAACCCACCTCTCATTTCTGCACCTGGACCCTGTCCCTCTGCCCCTGTGGACCTGCTCACACCCCTGGGACAGCCAGAGCCTGAGCGCCAGCCCTGAGCCACACATGTGCACATGGTGTCATGGAGCTGGACCATAAGGTGCTCCCAGCCCAGGACCCAGCCTGCCTAATGGGGTCACTTAGGATTAGAAGGGTGACTTGGGGGGGGGCCTTTTGCTAAGCACGGAGGAGGCACACCACAGATCCCCTGTGAATGGGGGGCTCTGCTTCCTGTTAGGTTAGGTGGCTCAGGAGGTGGCGCAAGAAATAGAGAGTCCAGTGAATCAGAAAAGAAAGGAAAGGAAAAGGTTTATTTCTGCGTCCCCGGGAGACCCAGGTACCCCCAAAGACAGGGCACGTGGATTCACGCCAACAGGGAGGGGGGCGCTTTTTTTATACTGCGGTTGGGTGAGGGGCGGGGACATGAGCTGAGGGATTCAGTTGAGGAAGTTTCAGCTGCAGGGGGTCAGCCAGGTATTCAGGAAGGAGTCAGTATCTGTGTGGGGGTCGGTGTGGATTCAGGGAGAAGCCAGTATCTGTGTCTGGCACGCTGATCTGTTAGACATGCCAGGGGGAGTCCATTATCTCGTCACATGTCTGCATGTATTCGATCCTGGGCTCTCTCCGACCCAACACTTCCTCACCCACATACTGAATGGGGAACTGAGGCCCAGAGGAGTCAGTCTGGTGACTCTCCCAGCTCCCCCAGGGCTTAGGGGGCTGAGCGCAGGCCAGGGGAGACTGACCTTGCAGAAGCCCTTTTGGCCCTGGAAGTACCCAGCGCACAGCGTCTCCTTGGTGATGGGCTCTGGGTCCTAGAGCCTGTGACAGACAGCCTTTGTGGGTCAGGCAGGGCCACTGCAGGCAGAGTGGACGGCGAGTGGGAGAAGGGGAGGTGTCTTAGGGGCCCTCAGAGGCCGCTAGACAGCAGGTGCGGCTGTGCCCATTCTCTGGGAAACAGCCAGGAGCCGCAGGGCCTGACCGGTTCCGTCCCCCGGGCAGGGCAGCTCATCTGTGTGGGCAACGAGGCAGATGCCTGTCCAAAGCAGGTCAGGGTGGGCAGGATGAGGTTGCAGGATCCCTGCCCTGACTGGTCAGAGGCAGAGAAAAGGGGGGCCTCATGCACCCTGGTAGTGCCTTCTGCTCCTCCTTGGGCAGCTGCCTCTAGCTCTAGACCCCAGCGACTCACCCACCATTCGGCCTGATGTCCCTGTAGCCAGTCACCCAGCAGAGGCTGCCCTCAGGGGAGCAGGAGCTGGGCAAGGCCAGAGGGGCAGCCTGACAGTGCAGGAGACAGGCACGGGGCGTGCCAGCTTCAGCAGGGCTGCGTCTCCACCCTACAGTGCGTTCCATTGGAGGAGGGTGCCGGCTGACGCCTGCCATGGCCACAGCGAGGGGGTCCCAGGGATTGGTGTGCAGGAGCTGTGCAAGAAGCAGGAGGGGACATGACAGGCTGTGAGGACAGTGAGGCTGGTGGTGTGGGCTCTTGGGAGAAGGGCAGTGGGATTGGGTGCTTCATTCAGTCCCACAAGGACCCTCTGCTCGGCCCTGGCCCACTAGTCAGACCCAGGCATTTTCACACTTTTTACACTTCCTCCCCGGCCCGATTGAGTGTAAAAATCCATCTCTGGCCCTTGCTGGTTTGGCTCGGTGAATAAAGTGTCGGCCTGCGGACTGAAGGGTCCCAGGTTCGATTCCGGTCAAGGGCACATGCCAGGGTTGTGGGCTTGGTCCCCAGTGGGAGGCATACAGCAGGCACCCAATCAGTGATTCCCTCTCATCATTGATGTTTCTATCTCTCTCTCCCTCTCCCTTACTCTCTGAAATCAATATAAATATATTTTTTAAAATATCCAGCTCTTTGTGATAAGATGCTTCATCCTTTCGTTACTGGGAAGGGGACCTTGGCAGTTGGCGAGTCTGCCCAGGACGGCTGGTAGCATGTGGGTTCCTGACTTCGTGCAGGAAACATTTCACAACACGAGCCTAGGTGACTGTGGGGGGCACTTACTAAAGCTGGGGACAGTGAGACAAAGGGCTTAGCGTAGAAGCAACAGGAGAGCCCAGGCTGGGCTGCCCTCGCTCGTGGGAAGTCAGAGGAAACGGGGCGCGGGGATCAGGTTCAGGACAAGCTGCTGCTGCCCATTGCTCCCCTGGTTGGAAGCCTGATGGGGTCCTTAGGGTTTGGGAGATGCATGCCTGGGAGGGAGGGAGAAGAAGTGGGGAAAGAAGAAGGGAAAGGGAATGGTGGGGGCTGCTCCCAGCAGGAGAGCAGGAGCTGGGTCGTTGGTCTGAGGCTCTATGTCTTTCTCAGGTGGGAATTGTAGGGGAGGTCACAGGGGAGGTTTCAGCAGAATATTCATCAGTGTCTAGGGGTGCTCCTCCAGGCCTGTAGTCTCCACCGATAGGTCAGTCATCACAGCTGGTCCTGGTGTCACCCACCCGGTTCTGCTGCTTTCCTGGGTCTGGAACTGGACTACAGTTGAGGCCTAGATGCCATTTCTGGGGAGGAGGCCTTCTGCATCTGCTGGCAATTGCTGCCAGTTTGTTCAGCTGCCTGTCTCGGTTTCACTAGGAGCCTTCCAGCAGCAGGGCCTGTGAGGGTGGGGGTTGGAGTGGACTTGGCCCTACTCTTTCTGGCCAGATGGACAGCCAGGGAGGCAGTGCCAAGATTGAAAGGGCAAGGCCAGCGGTGGGCAGCCAAGTGGGGCCTGCGCTGGAGAGCTGGGTAACGAGAGTGGACACGGCGGCCTCTATGAAGATGGGGGGTGGAGGGGTGCCAGCCAGGAAGCTGGGTATGGGGAGCTGTGGGGTACCTAGAGCACATTGGGAAGCCCTCTCCACAGCATTGGAAAGAGATCTGGCAGGGGAGACAGGAAGGTGTCTCCTGCAGAGAGAGGAAGTGCACGAAAGCATGGCTGAGTCAGGAGATTCGTGATCCGAGAGTTTTCTGAGTCCCTCCGGGAAGCGGGTCTCTGCCGAACGCCCTGTGCTTTGCCTTCGTTGCGGTGACCCAGGGCTCCAGCCGACTGTTCCTATTCTGATGCCCCTGCTCTCAGGGCTAGGCTCCCTGGGCCGCGGAGGGACCCACACTACCTGGGTGCACATCCCACATCTGCCACTTGCTCATTATACAGCCTGAGGCAACTTACTCAGCTCTCTATGCCTCAGTTTCCCCATCGGGAAAGTGGGAGTGATAGTACCAACCTACAACAGGAGGTCGTCATGAGCAAAAAATGACCCGCAGAGTGTGTTTGGAACAATACATGCCTGGAGGCCCCAGCAACTATTCACCATTATTTCTAGAACTTAGTCCACCCAGACCATTCCAGACGGGGTTCTGGCACCAACCAAATCAGGGAAAGCTCTTTACCCCAGCGGACACTTGGGACCGGCTGGTTATACACTGAGCGGACAGATTTGACCGGCCAGGTTATTATGACCACCCCATCAGTACTTCATTGACACTTCCAAAAATACTGAATATTGAAAACTTCCTAAGCAAATATTCTCAAGGTTTTATTATTATTATTATTTGCATAACTAATTCACTTCATTGCACTGATGGGGTGGTCATAATAATCTGGCCACTCACTGTATAGTGATTATTGCACCTACAAGGCAAGCTGACACTGCATGTAGTTCAGCCTTGAGCGTGACCATCCTTGACAGAATTTGTGTGGAATTCACCACCTTATGGCTTGATGATGGTTTGGTTTTGTTTATAATTCTCAAATACAGTCAAACCTCAGTTCTCGAACGTCTCCCATCTGGAGCAATTTAGTTCTCAACCAAGTTGTTCACAGAAAAAAGTCTATCGGTTGTCAGACAAAACTTGAGTTTTCAACTGGACAACCCTTTCGTGCTGACCCACCAGCAAGACAAAAAGCATCTCCCAGGCCACAAACAAAGGAGAGAGTAAGAGTTCATTTACCACCAAGCCTTGCATTGTTAACATCTCAGGAAACTGCTGCGAATATTTTTGTGGTCTGTTTTGTTTCCCTTTGGTTGCAGGTGAAATGGACAATGAACACAATTTTAAAGAATCTACTGGGTGCTGATGAAGCAAAAATAAAGAAGCTATCAAAGCGTGCTAATGCTGCTGAGGGTGTGAAAGAAGCACTGACCAGAGACAATTGAAGAGGAACAAAATGGACTGATTTGGATAAACGAAAAGCACTTACCGGTGACAGTATTCCAGAGGCAGTGATATGTGAGAAAGCAAAGCAGCTGCACACTGGCTTCCTGAAGACACCCTGGAATGAGTGCGAACAGAGACTCCTTTAAGGCTGGTGGGGGTGGTTCGATAAATTTAAGAAAAGAAGTGTTTGTTTATAGATTAAACCGTACAGTAGACATGGACTGAATATAAGAAAGGTTAACACGGAATCAGTTGGGGGTCTGGAATGAATCAATTCAGTTTACAATGTAGTATTTTTGTTGTTGTTAATCCTCACCCGAGGATATTTTTTCTGCTGGTTTTTTAGAGAGGGTGCAAGGGAGGGGAAGAGGATAGAGAGAGAGAAACATCCATGTGTGAGAGACACAGCGATTGACGGCTCCCGCAGGCACCCTGACCAGGGCTGAGGAGCAAACCTGCAACCCAGGGACATGCCCTTGACCAGGAATCAAACCCATGATTCTGGTGCAGGGACCAACGCTCTAACCACTAAGAAACTCTGGCCAGGGGCCATTCCCGTTCTTTCTAATGGGAAAATGATTGGGT